TGTGCCCACTCAGAGGCAAATGGAAAAACACCACTCAGGGACAGAGATGCACACACACATGTTTGGGATGGTGGGATCCCAGGACACGTCTAGCAGAGACATGAGGAAACTCTGACCCTGTTCAGGCACAACTCTAGGTAACTCTGGTGGTCTAGGAGGGGCCAAGGGCAGTGTGTGCTCAGAACCGGGAGGTGGGGTAGGGTGAGGTCGAGGGGTCCAGACAGATTAGGAGAGTGAGGGATTAAAGGCACCCACCCAGGAGCCGAGGAGCAGTGCAGAAAGGAATTTTAAGGGTGACTTCGAGGACAGAGGATCAGAGTTTGATGTTGGAGTCCTGCCCTTTCTGGCTGTTTCTGCTCAAAGCCAGGAAGCCTCTGAGACTGGCTCATCCTATCGGGCAGTCTTGTTACTCCAGGGCTTGGGACACCACCCAAATCCAGCTTTCTTCTAGAGCGGAGTGTCCAAAACTGGAGGTATCTGGACGCCTGGGTTTGTGGGTCGACTTGCACTGGGGAGGGGGAGGTCATGCAGTTGGCTTGGATGGACTCTCCTCTTCTTGGAGGATCAGTTAAACTTCTAGAAGTAGCTGGCAACACAAATAAAATTCGTAGCTGATATTTGTACTGTCTATATGAGATGATGACAATGAGAAATAATTCTGGGGCGTTCACTTGTCTAAGGTCACACGGCGATAACAGAGCGGGGATGAGAACCCAGGCGATGTTCTCAATCGGTATTTATAGTTACGTTTCTATGTCTCCAACAGTTCCACGTATAAATGAAGTTATACGTTCAACTAAAAGCAGCTTTAGGAAATTTGACCGAGGTGAAGACAAAATCCACCTGAATGCGTGACCTAAAAAGGCAGTAATTTTGTGCGTGTGACACTGGTCAGGCTAGCCCACAGGCCTGAGGAGGAGGTCACTTGCTCTCCTGGCTCTGGGGAAGTTTGGGAAATATTGCCAGGGTTTTGGAGCAAGATAGGTCTCCAACTATGGTGGGAATCAGAACCATGTGTGCTTGGTAAACATGCGACCCTTGGGGTCCCCACCTAAAAAGCTAACATTTCTGAAGCACTTCCTCTGTGTCAGACGACTTTGTACTCATCACCGCCTCTCTTCTTCCTGAGGGTTCTATGAGGGCCCCTTCGCACAGCTGAGAAAAACGAAGCACGGACAGTGAGGTAAGTTGCGCAGGTTACCGGTTCATAAATGATGGTCAGTATCCACACCCAGGCTGGCCTGTCTCCGCGGCCAGAACTGCAAACCACGTCACCCTCTGCCTTTGTTCCCCAAGATGATCTGATTCCGGTGGGTCTGGAGCCGGCCTTCAACAACCGCCCCCGGAGGTCACTGGGCCACACTTTGAGAACCATACTCTGGCTTCCGTTTCAGTCAGGCAGAACGTTAGAGCCACCTGAGAAGCTTCAGAAACTATGAATACCGTTCCCTTCCCCAAACACAGGCTTTTTCAATGGGTCCAGAGTCGCCTCGCAGGTGTGGGTGACGTTCTGGTCAGCATTTTCTTTTAAGGGGACAGACAGAGTGTATATTTATCCAATCAATAACACATATGAAGACCTGCTCCGTGCCCTGTGCTGCACGGGGGCTGGGGACACAAAGGGGGGTGGGACACTGTGTGTGCCTTCCAGGAGCACAGGTGCCTCACACTTCTGGTGGGGCACAGCGTGCCCTTTCTGGGGGGAGGAGGAAGGATGCGGCTTACTTCTTGCTTGTTCTCCTCTGGTGAGCTCCAGAAAGAGCCAGTCTCCTCGAATGTGAAGTCCTTCTGGCTTCTCCCCGATGTGGTCCTTCGCCCTCGCCTGACAGGTCACGGCTGGTTCTCCACCCAGAACTCAGCTCCCAGAAACACAGCCCTGAGACACCACCCATACGTGGAGCTCTCACATTTTAGAGAGAGCAGACACAAGTGCTGGGCTCTTGTTAGATCTAAAGATGCCTGGAGCCCACCCCAAATCAGCCCACCTGATTCTTAGGTCATGGGTGGGGTCTAAGGAATATGCGTTTTTCATAAACTCCCAAATGGCTCTGCTATGCACTCAGCAGGAGAGCGGCAGGAGACCCTGGAGAGTTTGAAAAACACTGATGCCCAGGTCCATCCCTGGAGAGACTGGTCAATGCTTTCAGAAGTTCCTATGCAAGGCGTCTGGGCCTTCCAGCTGACCTTGTTTGGAATTTGGGGAGACAACCCCAGGGACACTCACTCCTTGCTGCCACCAGGGCCTTGAAATAAGAGGAGAAAGGGCACCTGGGTGGTTCAGTTGGTTAAGAGCCTGACTCTTGATTTCAGCACAGGTCATGATCTCATGGTTTGTGAGTTCGAGCCCTGCATTGGGCTCCGTGCTGACAGTGCAGAGCCTGCTTTGGGATTCTCTGTCTCCCTCTCCCTGCCCCTCCCCTGCTCACTCTCTATCGCTCTCTCTCTCCCAAAATAAATAAATAAACATTAAAAAAATAAAGTTCAAAGGTCTTCATCAATTAAAAAAAAAGAAACAAGAGGAGAAGAAAACAATAGGAGGGAAGAGACAAAAAATAAAAAAGGAATAGATGAAAATAAAGAAGCCAATGAGAAGATGTGGGACAAGAGAAGTCTGGACAAGAAGTCCCCGCTGAAATCACTCATTAACTCTGAGGCATTCATCTCTTTTTCTTAATGTTTTTTCTTATTACAATAGTCATTAATTGGTTTTGAAAATTAATAGTAAAAAAGTATATGAAAACAAAAGTGAAAAATGATCTATAACCCACCTGAACAGAGATGATCACATAAGGTCTTAATATGACATATATAATGTATAATATAATATATTGTATAATATTATAATAACCATAATGTAATGTGGTATATGTTATACATACTATAATATTATTATTAATATATATTAACTAAAATACAATGAAATAGGGGCGCCTGGGTGGCTCAGTCGGCTAAGCCACTGACTTCGACTCAGGTCATGATCTGGCGGTTCGTGAGTTCGAGCCCTGCGTTGGGCTCTGTGCTGACAGCTCAGAGCCTGGAGCCTGCTTTAGATTCTTTGTTTCTCTTTCTGTCCCTACCCTGCTTGCACTCTCTCTCTCTCAAAAATAAAGAAAGATTAAAAAAATAAAATAAAATTAAATAAAATTAAACTATTCTATAATAAGATGTATTATATAAACCTGGCACTTATAATTGGTATCCTTTTTTCGACTTTATTTACTTTTCTGTTTTGCTTTCATAGAACTTATCATAAAGATTTTGTGTTCCCAGCAGCTGAAAATCTAAGTCCTAAAAGACTTAGCTTGATGCAGGAGGGTGTGTGAGTGGAACCGTGACTGGGTACCCACTTTTCCCTCCCCGTGCACACATTCCTGCGTTCATTCCCGCAGAGGTGCGGATGATGCGACCCCTGCCCTACGACCCTAGACATCGTGTACCCAGATATGCACTTCACATCATACCCTCAAAGTTAGTAAAGGATCTTATTAATTGATATCACTAAATTAATTTATTAGTGCAGGATTAATTCATATTAAGTGTAAAATAAGTTTCTTCCCTTTCTTCCCATTTCTGAAATCGGAATGAAAATTGGCACCAGGGGACCCGGGACGGTGACCACCCTGGGCCGAGTCGTCTCTAGGGATTCATCGCTCCCTGGCCCCCCACCTTCCCTCTCTCCAGAATAGCTCCACAGCCCTCCTTGCCATTCTCTTCTACCCCTACCCTGGCCATCCTCCCTCCTCTCCTGTCCCTGGTGCCTCAGTCGCTCTTCTCCCCACTGGGCTGAGGCTGCTGGCTTGGACAGAGGCTGTCCCTCCACAGGCGGTAGGCGATGGAAGCGGTCACGGTGAGCCAGGCCAGGTAAGGCAGCAGGAGCACGGCAGCCAGCTTGTTGACGGGATGCCAGATCAACGCTGTGCTCACCACCAGCCCATAGAGCAGCAGCAGGTGCAGCAGGGCCTGGAGGGGGGGTGGGAGCGAGCAGTGGGGTCAGGGCAGTCAGGCAGGCTGCCCTGAGAACTGAGCCCTCAACCTTTCTGCACCCCAGACCCAGTGAGCCAAGTTCCTGAGGTCTGGGCACTCGGCCGGAGCTCAGAGAAGTGTGCCCACCCATTACCTGCCTGTCCTGCATTGGTCTCTTGTGCTATCTGCTCTGGGGACCCCAGTCGTCTCACCTGCTCCTACGCTACTTCCACTGACGAACACGGTGTGCCTTACCAGACCATGGGTGCGGGCTACGAAAAAGAGAATCAGGACAGTCCAGCTGATGGCAAGCTGCACAGCATAGAGGCCAAGAGGCAGGACCAGGGGCCTCCCAAAGCCCCCTCCCAGGTCCTTCCACACCAGGTAGGAGGCATAGCTGCAGAGAGATGGTGGCAGGACACTCAGAGGGAGGGTGTTCCATGGCAAAGGAAAGGAGCCCTTGGGCATAAGGTCTCTTGGTTTCCCAGAGGAAACCCTGTGGGCTGCTATGGGTACAAGAGTGTCAATGCATCACTTGAGGGCCAGCGAGGAGGTGGTGGGGGGAGCCGGGCATGGTGAGGTTGGGGAGGCAATGGGGAAACTTGGAGAGGGGGAAGAAGAAGAAGGCTGGCTGGAATCCTAGGCAGGTGCAGAGGGGACCCCCTCCCCCCACCCCACTTAAGCGTTCAGATGGCGCGTGCTATCCCTTTGGAGACCAGGATACAGCAGTAGCTCGGGTACAGGGCCCATGGTATGCGAAATGGGTGCTCACCCGATGACGAAGTAGATGGTTATCCACCCTGCCATCAAGACCTTGTGGGGTGGGCACCAGGGTGGCTTCTTTGGGCTGTCGTACCAACCAGACGTTCGACGGGTGAGCAACCAGACCAGGATGGGCCCCAGGTGGGGAAGAGCCACAAAGATGGTTCCTTGAGGCTGCATTCTCCTCACGGAGACCAAATCTAGGACGGCAGATGACACACTGGTGATGGGCCTCCCCCTCAGTCCTTTCCCTGTGTCTGCTTGCCTGTCTCCACCTCCTACCCGATGCTATTTCCTGGCCAGAGCCCCCTCACAGGACGTCTAGTCACAGAGGCCATTCTCCCCACCTTGGGCCAGCTCCTGTCGGCTCCTGTGAGCCCACACCGGGCCCTTTCTCTGGCTTCAGTGGACTTGTTTTTTCCACACCACTCATCTGGCACACAGAGGATACCGTCCCGTATTGATAACCGCTTCTGAGTGAAAGGCTCCCTTCCCCCAGCACGTATCTGACTCCTAGAGTTCAGGTCCATGTATGACCGTCCCTCCTGCCTCCCATAGTGGGTGGCACTCGGTCAGGTACATAGCAGGCCCTTCACAGGGATGGTGCCTTAATACTGAACTCAGTCAAGCTGATGTAACCAACTATGTTCAGAAAGGCAGGAGCCAGGGATCCCTGGGGGTCTTTACTAGTCAAGAACCGGCCAGCCCATCCGCCCCCAGGCTTATCTCGATATACCAGACTGGCAGACTTGGGGAGGCCCACCCAGCCTGAGCTGCTGCCCGAATTCACACTCAGCCGAGTGACACCGGGCTCCTTTCTCTGAAGGTTTCCGTCTCGCCTGCCCTTCAGGGGCTGGGGAGGTCCCTCCTCCACCTCTCCCCTTCCAGAGGGACGGGAGCCACAAACATAAGCGCCCAGCTTTCCTGTGGCCTGACATCTCAAGGAAGCAACGGCCTGGTCTTCGAAAAGCTGCCATACTCATTTGAATGTGGAGTTGTGCACAGACCCTCCTCCAGCCAAGACCCCCATCCATATCATTCTCAGTGTCCTGGAGTGACTGCCTACTCCATCTTTTCCTGTCAAGGGCCCCTGTCCATGTCCTGGAGGTTCCGGACACAGGGCTGACTAGCCCGCCCACCTGTGCATCTCTATTTATATTCCTCTGGTCCTCACCGTCCATTTGTTCATCTTCTGCCTTCCTGTCTCTTGCTGTCTCCCTCTTTCTGTTTTTCTGTTCAGTGCTGGAGGTGCCTCCCGCACCCTCCCCCATCAGGAGAAATCCTGTTCTCCACCCTCCCGATGCCTCCTCATTCCCAGGCCTGTGTTCCCCTTACCTCAGGCAGCACACTTCTCAGGCCAAGTGCTCGATGCTATATGTTGTGTGCAAGGCAGAGGAGGGTGGGGGACGGGAGAAGGGCGGAGTGAGGCTCCCATCTGGTCTGCCTTTCTCCAATGACAGGGTGGTGGCATTGGCTGGGGTGTATGGAAGGCTGGCTGCCTGCATGGTCCTGAAGGGTTTCATTTAGCAGAGCCCCCGCTGGTCTACTAGACTTGGCCTCTGGAGTGGTCCCCTTGATGGAAGGGTTGAGGCTTTGGCTCTGTGACACCCGGACTTCTGGGCGGGCTCAGCCTCAGGCTACAAGACTTTTGAAACCTGTGGTGTGCACATTCCATGAGCTGGCTTTGTGTCCACAGGTGGTGCAGACCCTCAGATTTCCCCAGGACTTTCCTGTAACTGGGATTATCCCCAAGGGGGGCAAGCATCAGCTTTGGAAAGGAGTTCATGATATATGGACACAGGTTATAGCCTAGTTGGCATGGGCCTTCCCCTCTCAGAACTCGAGCTTGACGGATTTTCACAAATCCCTACAACTTCATGACTCAGAGGAGAAAGCAGCCTCCTGTGTGACTCAGACAGAGCTTTGTCCAGCAAAGACTAACACCTACCCTTTTCATACCTATAAAATTCCAAGCATCTCTCCTTTGCTAGTCCTTTACTCATGAGGTCCCCTTCCCAGGTTGGCTGCTCGCCATTGCTCCTTTGCCCCATCTCTCCACTCTGGGGACCTGGGCACCCCTGGGAGGAGTTTACCCCATCCTCTCTCTTCTACCTTGGGGAAGGTGGTGGAGGGAGGGGGTTGCAGTAGGGGACAGGAGAATCATTAACTGAGATGAAATCAGTGGCGGTTACTTATTTTCTATGAGATAATTGGGGCAGGGGTGTGCTGGGGAGCTCACCATGGTCCCCAACTGCAGGAGGCCAGCCCTCGGTGACAAGAGTTGCCGCTCATGGAGCACCCATTTTGGGGCGAGCATTTTACAGTTTTTAGCTCAATAATGACCATGTTTATTCCTCACGAGGTAGATATTATTGCCTGCATTTGACAAACAAGGGAAAGGAGGCTCAGAGGGGTTGGGTAACTTGCCTAAGATTATACAGTGGACAAGTGAGTCACCTGTGTTCAGTGTCAGTAGACTGGCCCCAAAACACATTCTCTTTGAGCTGGTCTACACATTCATTCCACAAGTCTGCCTTTGTTTTCTTTCTTTCTTTCTTTCTTTCTTTCTTTCTTTCTTTCTTTCTTTCTTTCAAGTTCATTTATTTATTTTGAGAGAGATTGAGAGAGAGACAGAGCACACGAGCAGGGGAGGGGCAGAGAGAGAATCCCAAGCAGGGGCCGCACTTACCAGCGCAGAGCCCGATACAGGGCTCGAACTCATGAACCATGAGATCATGAGCTGAGCTGAAGTCAAGAGCCAGAGGCTTAACTGAGCCACCCAGGAGCCCCTCAACAAGTCTTTCTTAAATACCTGCTATGGACCAGGCTGTACCAGGAGCTAAGAGTACTAGAGCAAACAGCTGAAAACAACAACAACAACAACAACAAAAATCTATCCATCTTCACAGGGATCCTTCATTCCAGTGGCACTATCTTTCCCAGGCAGAATTTCTATGAAAGGACTCAGGTTGGCAAATAGCCCAAAGACAGCTCTCCCCCAAGTGCAGTGTCCCTGCCAACTCTGAGTGTGGGCAGGGAGCAGATAGGGGAACACCCAGTGCTGCCAGCACCTGTGAGTCGTTAACCCTCTCAGTGCCTCCTCTGTCATCTCTGTGCAGGAAAGGGTGGAACTAGACAAGGTCTAAGCTCCTGGACCAGCGGCATTGGCATCACCTGGGAGCTTTTTAGAGATGCAGGATCTCGGGCTCTGGCTCAGACCTATGGGATCGGGACCCACGTTTTAACCCAATGCCTCATGTGGTTTGTGTGCACACTATAGTTTGAGAAGCTCCTGTTAGGGGTCCCTGCTCTTACCTTCTGCTGGCTGTCAGTTCAATAGCCTCTGGCTGGGGCAGCCACTCACCAGCAGAGGGCATTGTAGGGAGGGGTTCACCTGTCCCCAGGTTTTCTCTTTCTCTGTCTCCTCCCTCCCAGACCCAGACTATTAAGACCTCTGACTTCTGGGATCCTCAGCTACTCCACTCCCCTGCCTTGGCTGGACTTTGCCAATAGACAGGGACAGATTCCCCCACCCCTCTTTAGGTCACTGGGAGGGAGGACTTTGCCGGGAAGCTCCGGGCCACTCCTGCCCGGATTCCCCGCCCACCTCCACTTGTCTGCTGGCCCGGTGACAGAGTCTGACTGACTGCTCTGTTTCCAGACAAGGAACTGCTATTCCTGGATGAGCAGGGGGGCCTCTGGGAGCACCCACACAGTAAGGTGAGCACCCCCTGGGGCAGATAGACATGGGGTGGGCATTGCAATGGAGCCATCTGGGGTACAGGGGAGGAGCCAGGCCATCTGAGCCAGCCCTGCCAGTGTGGAGAGCCTCCACTGGAGGAGGAGAGGGGAGAGGGCAAATGTCCAGTGGGCGTGAGGACCTGAGAGGTAGTTGTATGCACTATGGAAATGTATACTATGCTGAAAGAATGTTGCCCGTGACAGGTTTGGACTCATCCATCCTGGTACTTTTTACATGCTTCAATAACGAGATCTATCAGGGCTTGAGTGGGCATGGTAAAAGCCATTGATGTGGGAGAAGGGTTGAGAATTTCCTCGAAGGACGTGAGAAAAGCTTTGCAGCAGGAGCCCAGATCTTCGTGCTGGAGGAGGCAACTCCCTAGAGACAGGTGAGGGCAGCATTCTAAAGGACCCTTATCTTGGGGACCTGCTACCTGGGATGAGCTGGGGGCAGGAGCAAGACAAACTGGAGACACGGGTACTAAGGAGTCAGGGGGTCGGGAAGGTCCGGGCTACATCTAGCTGGTTACCCTGCTGCAGATTCAGGCCTACCTCCTCTTGGGGTTAGGGGGCCGATGGAGTGAGGGCCTAGCAGCTTGGAGAGCTATGAGCCTGGGGGAAAGGTGGCTGAGCTGGGGGAGAGTTAATGAGTGGGCTTCCCATGAGAGGCCCCTCTAGGCTTTAGGGAGGAATATGCCAACTCTTCCAGGTTGGCAGGCTGGACAAGGAGATTCTGCTGCGTCACCCAATGGGGTGGAGGGGGTTTGGACTCTGGTCCTTGGAGGCTCCAGGAAGGTTGTTGCTACAGAAACAAAGCAGAGTCCCTCTTTTCTTTCATGCTAGCTAGCCCATCACCTGCCACGGGTGCCTTTGTGGGCAGTAGGGGTATCACTCCCTATGGAGCCGAGGTTATACCGTTCGGTGTTTTTATTTATTTTTACTTTATTTGTGTTTCTTGCTCTTGCAACTTCCTGTCATCTCGAAGTGCAAAGGAAAAGAGACCCTGGGGGAAAAAGAAGGGGCCTGGAGAGAGAGGTAGTGTTTCTGGAACACCGCTGTCATCCCTGTTCATCCTTCCCTCTGCCTTCACTTGTAGCTTAATAACCCCTCATACATCCTCACCGTGGGGAGAAAACTTGGCTTCCTTATCTATGACATGGAGATAAAAATAACACCTAGCTCACAGACCACTGTGAGGATCAAATGAGTTAGGCCCCACAGAGCGCTCTAACACGGTGGCGTAGAGCAAAGCTCCATAAAAGTTAGCTGTTACTAGCGCAGTTATAATTCCAATTATCTTTAATGTCAAAGAACCAAAAGGAACGGATGCACCATAAAGGGAGGCTGACTGCTCCAACCCCCCTTTCCCACCAGATGGGGGGGTCCTGCCAGCTCGTCCACTTGACTTGTGTGCCCTGCAAGAGGCTTGGCTGGGGCACTTTTTCTGCAAGGTTGAGTTTTAAGGCAAAAGGAACAACGTCACACCTTCCTCCCTGGCTACGTTTTCAATGAGGACACGGGTGTGGGGCGGCGGGGAATAGATCCCACCCCAGTCCTAAGCCTGAGGATACAGATGAATTTCTTCCCCTGTCTGGGAGAACCTAAGGAAAGGGGCTTGGGTTTCGTGGGCCCTGAGGAAGGAAGGAAGAAGGAGGGCAAGGGAGGAGCTGGTGGTGTCTTGGGGCAAGGCCTGAGCGCCGGGTCTGGGTGTGAGTGAAGGGGCTGGAGATGAATGGATGCCAGAAGCCTTTCTAGCGCAGACCCTAGTGAATCAACCCCGGGGATCCCGAGGACTTTGAAAAAGGCCATATATCTTACAGAACTCAGCGGCAGAGTGAATGAGTCACATTCCCTCAGAAGCTCCGCGTAAGACGTCATCTTTGTCACGACTGAACTTCCCGCAGTGTGTGCTCCACGTGTTCTGAGCACCAGCCCGGAGGGGGTGGGAAAACCACGCGTGACAGCATGTAGTCAAGGGTTGCTCAATAAGGTGGGATGACAGCAGGGAGAAAATTCCGAGGGGTGAGACTGTCAAGGGTGGGTGAGCCGGGGGGGCGGTGCTGTGGAGCAGGAGGGGGGTCCAGGTGGGTGAAGAGGCAGGTGGGGAGAAGAGTGGGAGGGAGCAAGGGCCAAGAGGTTGGAACTAGACAGGTGGGAGGCGCACAGCCTGTCAGGAGTGCAGGGTGCTGGAAATCAAGGGAGGAAGCGGGAAAGTATGAGCGAGAGGTGGTAGACCCTGGAGGACCCCCCGAAGGAAGGTGTGGCATCCTTATGGGGGAGGCTGCTGGAAGGGCCAGGTTCCAGTCTGAGGCCCCCCGCTGGTAACCAGGTGAGCAGGCAGTGTGTGCTTTGGCCTGGCCTCAGTCCAGTCTCACTGGAGGCTCCCACTTGTGTTTTTCTTTCTCTTTTTGCTTCCACTTTTGACTTTGTTACCCCTATCATATTTCACATATCCCTGTGACCGCCTTCAGACCTTTCTGGTAGCAGGTGTGGGGGGGTGGGGTGGAGGGTGGAGGCATGAAGAAAGAAAACTATTTGGGCCAGTGCTTTGTCATCTACAAATGCTTTTCACGTGATCTCGTGCTATCCTCACAACCGCTCTGCTCTCAGAGGTAATTATTTTTTTGCTTTGGATAGCTCTTAAAAAGAATGACAAAGTTAATATAAAAGGCTTGGGGTGGAAAATTCAAATACAGAAGAAAAGAGTTCGAGAAAATGGACTGTCCTACTTTCCACCTTCCACCCTCTCAATTTCCTGTCTCTTTCAGTAGTGATGGGTGGGAATAGTTTGGGGGTGTATCCTCTCAGCCCTGCGTTGCCCTAGACAGGAGTCACCAGCACGTGTGGCTGCTGAGCACATGAACTAGAGTACGTCCCAACTGCGATGTGCTGGAAGTGTAAAATACACAGGGATTTCAGAGACCTAGTATGAAAACAGAATGAAAACTAATGCAATAATTTTGTATTGATTTCCTCTCAAAATGATGATGTTTTGAATATATTGGGTTACATAAAATCTATTATTAAAATTAATTCCTCCTGGTTTTTTCTTTTTGGCCTTTTTAATGTCCCTAGAAAGTTTAAAATTACATTTGTGGCTTACATCGTTTTTACTGCATAGCACTGCCCCAGACCTTTCTCCGTAATTGACATGTATACACCCATAAATATGTATCTATACTTGTATATAGTTCTGTTACCGACATTAACGAGATCGGAGGATGTCTACTTTTCCGTAACTTGCTTTCCCCCTTAAAGATTTTTCTGTGAAGATCAAGATGGATATTCTGACATATGCAGAAACTACGGCACATTAAGCAATACGGCAAACTCTCTCAGCCAGTGACCAAGGCGGCATTTGAATTTACATCATGTAACTCCAAACCCAAGCTCTTTCTGCCTCAGAGGAGTCTAATTTGACATAATAGGCCATGGGGAGCGACGGTAGGTTCTTGAGTAAGATGCAGATAGGTGAGGTCCCGTTAAAGGATTTGATGGAGGAGTCACTACAATGAAGACAATTTGCTCCCTCATCGCAGCCACTTGGGGGCCAAGTCTTGGCCTCCATGATGTTACAAAGGTTTACCTGGCACTGACCTCTTTTGTCCTCCAGGTTCTTGGCTTTGGCTGGCACAGGGGTGCACGGGGGCTGGCAGCATCAAATGACCAGGTGGATGTGCTCCCATGAGTGCTCCTTCCAACCTGCCCAGTTCCTACTGCTGGTGGGGGTCCCGGTGGCGAGTGCCCTCCTTCTGGTCCAGTGCCTCCGATGGCACTGTCCTCGCTGGCTGCTGGGGGCCTTTTGGAAGCTGGATAACCAAGAGGATCCAGTGTCCCATCCCACTCCTCTACCAGAAAATGAGTCCCCAAGGCAGTGCCCGCCAGCCACACTGCCGGAAATGGCTGCCTTCTACCAGGAACTGCATACACCCACTCAAGGCCAGACCGTCATCCGTCAGCTGATGCACAAGCTGTTGGTGTTTTCGGCTCGAGAGGTGGATCACCGCGGTGGCTGCCTGATGCTCCGGGATATGGGCATCTCTCTGCTCATCCCGCCAGGTAACAGCACCCTCTCCCTTCTCAGCATATAGTTGTTTGTTGCGCATTGTACAAGGGCATCGCGCCTAAGGGAGCATACGTAGACATCGCCATAATTTTGAAAATTGTTTATATTTTTAGTATGGCTTTATTGACTCCAAAGATGGATAGATTACATATTTTTATGACAGCTTCCTGACAGGTGGAAGTAGAGTGCCTGGTAGTAACGAACGGTGTGTTATGACAATTCTCCATCAAGGAGAGTGTCTGGAGCAAGAGCACCTTTTGCAAATTTGCAAACTCCCACAGGCCCCCACTGGGCTGGCGGCATCCCTGGAAGGAAGGAGGGTGGCTTGCTGAGGCTTACACCGCAAGCCGGCTCACAGTCTTTCTCTCCTTCCACACTGCCTCGCCCAGTGCCCTGCGAGGCACCCTCTCTCTTTGGCTCCTGTCCCACCTCCCCTCCCGCTGTGGCCTGGCCCATTCTGGGGTGGCGGGGTGCCTGCCTGCCAGGCCTGTCTCAACGCTTATTCTCCCCAGGTGCTGTGGCTGTGGGCCGCCAGGAGCGGGTATCGCTGATCCTGGTGTGGGACTTGTTGGATGCCCCGTCGTTGTCCCGAGCCCAGGGGCTGGTGAGCCCTGTGGTAGCATGTGGCCCCCACGGGGCCTCCTTCCTGCAGCCTTGCACCCTCACGTTCAAGCACTGTGCCCAGCAGCCCCGCCATGCACGCACTTACAGCAGCAACACGACCCTGCTCGATGCCAAGGTCTGGAGGCCCCTAGGGCAGCCAGGGGCCCACACGTCCAGGGACGAGTGTCGCATCCGCCTCTCTCACTTCAGGTAGGCCTGTCGGCCCATTCTTCCTGCCTGTGTTCTCTGTCTGCCTCACCCCCATCTCTCTGTATGGAATTGCCCCTTGATCTGTTCCAGATGCCCCACAAATCCCTTATCGCCCGGTGTCCCTTCCTGGTCCCTCTGTCCTAGTGGGTAGGGCAGCTTCTCTCACTCAAACCCTGTCCAGGATTAGCAACCTGCTGTAGTTTCTCTGCCTGCCTGCAACCACAACCCCAGCCCTCCGTCTGGAAGGGGCCTGACCCATCCCCACCTTTGTCTCTCTAAAACTGTTTCTACCCTGTGCCCCTGTTCAAGACTGTCCCTGAACTGTCCAGGGCCGCCTGTCCTCTCCAGTTTTCGAAGACCCCCTCCCATCGCATGTCTGTCCTCAGCTCTGTCTTTCTAGAACCACCGGCCCTCCTGCCGCTCCTTCCCACCCCTGCACAGAGCAAGGCCAGCTGTGTGTGTGGGTCCCCTGGGAAGCATAGTGGCCCTGGAGCCCACCTCTCCTCTCTCTCGTGCTGGAGGACGCTTGATGGCTCTTCTCCCCATTCGGTGATGCTCCCCATTAAAAGTGACCTGACTCACTTTTAATCCCCCCACCTGCCTGACTCCTTGCCACTTCCTCCCTGTCCATGCCCCACGCCGCTCTCCTTGGATCCTCGCGCAGGAGGAGCCTGGCGGCAGGTGCACCGGGGTCCCAGCCTCTCCTGTCACCGTCTTTCTCTGCAGCCTCTACACCTGTGTGCTGGAGGCGCCTGCGGGCCGGGAAGCCCGCAAATGGCTGCAGCTGGCTGTGTTCTGCTCGCCGTTGGTGCCAGGACAGTCCCACCTGCAGCTGCGCATCTACTTTCTCAACAACACGCCCTGCGCCCTGCAGTGGGCCATGGCCAACGAGCAGCCCCACGGTGGGCGCCTGCGTGGGCCCTGCCAGCTCTTCGACTTCACGGGGGCCCGAGGGGACCAGTGCCTGAAGCTCAAGTACATCTCTGAGGGTGAGGGAGGGGGCTTCGGGGGGGCACTAGAGGGAGGGGTCTGGACCTCCCCCTGGGTAGAAATCTGGGACCCTCAAGGTTCTTTCGGAGACTCCTGGGCAGGCAACAGCTTCCAGGGGACCCCTGGTTTCTGTGGCTGCCTCCAGGAGCCCCAGGCTTTGCCCACTCCCACCCTCTGTGGCCCATTCAGCCCTGGCCCCTCCATGGGAGGATAGGATGATCCAGGGGTGGGGGAAGGGGAGGGGAGGCCTTTATTATCCCACCTGGCTGGGGGCCCGGTATCTAAGGAGGAGTCCTAGTCTTCTCTGCCCTCCTTCCTCTGTGGCACCTGCTGGTGCACTTGCTCACGGAGCCTGGGATGTCTGTGTGGTTTGTGGACAGATGCGTGGCTGCTCGGTGGGAGGCGGGAGGCCTGTGCGCTGTGTGCGTGTGGGAGGTGTGTGGTGCTAGGGAAGGCTGCTCGCAGGGTCCTGGCCAGGCTCTGAGGACTCCCATCCACTTGAGACCCCCTCCTGCTTTCGCTCCCTACTCATCCCTCCCCAACAGTACCCTGCACAGAATAGGACTCCTCCAAACACTTGTGGAAGACTCCACTTTCTGAGGCCCTCCGCTCTGCCTCCTCCCCAGGTTGGGAGAACGTGGATGAGAGCAGTTGCCAGCTGGTTCCCCATCTCCACATCTGGCATGGAAAGTGCCCCTTCCGTTCCTTCTGCTTCCGGAGGAAAGCAGGTAGTTCAGGGGCCCTGTCCCCTCCCCGCCCCTTCCCCTCGCCCCTCTGTGGCTCCCCATTTGGTCAGGCCTCCGTGCAGACCTTCTCTAAAAGGCGAGGAGCCACAACTGATCTTTGAGGAGAGAAAGATGGAAGGTCCTGCCCAATGTCTTCAGATTTCCAAAGCCTTACTGTGGAGTCCCTTTCACTTCCCCTGCTGTCTTGCACTGGGCCTTTCCCTCTCATGCCTGCCATGTCCTCTCCTCTTTGTAGCCAATGAGAATGAGGACTGCTCAGCGCTTACCAATGAGATCATTGTCACCATGCATACCTTCCAGGACGTGAGTTGGAGCTGAGGGGCAGAGGGGAAGGGCAGGGCCTGGAGGAGTCCTGGGCAAAGTGGGCAAGGGGTCTGGTGCCTAGTAAGTATGGCCCCAATCACATAATTCAGCAGGTGGTTGGCATTCTTCCAGGGGCTTAGACCACCTGGCCTCCAAGCTACCCTCTATTCCCTGACTCTCTCTTGTCTATCCATGTATGAATCCAGTAGGAGGGTAAAAGAACCAAACCCTGGATGAACCTCTTCTCTTGGCCCAGAGGGACTTGGGCATCCAGGAGAAGTGGTTTCTTTCTAGGCTGAGTATATGCATCTGAGAGATGATGTTGTGTATCTTCAGTGAGAAGAGCGACCAGGGAGAGGATCTCGAGTAGGTGGGATGGGAGTTAAAACCTTCCGAAGGGGGAAGGTTTGAAGAAGTCAGGGTTGAGAATCTTTGGGGAACCATGGTGGTATCTTGGTGGAGAGTAAGCAGATAGCTCTCAGGTTGTCCCCTGCAAGGAGGAACCAAGGGCTGGGGGGGAAGGAGACACATGTGCCTGAGTTTAGGGTCCCTATTTTTGGAATAGGGGACATGCCCTATGACCTCACCCAGACTTCTCCTGGTATGTCAGGATGCACCATGTTTGGTCTTCATGTCTCAGCTCCCAAAGAACTCAGTAGGGAAACTTAAAGGTGAAAGTTCTGGGGCCAGGGAAGCAGAGGGTAGGGGGTCCTGATGTCTCCTGGTAAAGTAGCTCTGGACATGGGGAATGGAGGCAGGTTCCCTAGTTTCATTCAGGGGATGTCTCATGATGCCTAAACGGGTTCCCTGACCCTCTGTTGGCTCAGGGCATGGAGACCAAGTACATGGAAATCCTCAGATTCCAGGCATCAGAGGAAGAATCCTGGGCGGTGCCACCCCCTGCCTCTCAGCCACCCCCATGCAACAGGTGAGGTGGGGTGGCCTGGGCTGCTGGCTGGGGGACTTTTGAGATTCCTGCCCCAGTGCCCACAGAGGGCGCATACACAATTCAGGGTGTGTGTGTGGAACGGACTGGGTTTCTCTGGTCCCCCTCTCTGAGGACCCCCTCTGCCCCAGGCTGCCTCCAGAGCTCTTTGAGCAGCTGCAAATGTTGTTGGAGCCAAACAGCATCACGGGCAATGACTGGCGTCGACTGGCCTCCCACTTGGGGCTCTGCGGCATGAAAATCCGGTAAGAAGAGTGGGGTCTGCGCATGGGAGAGGAGGGTGAACTGGGGTCGGGGGCTGTCAGGACACCTTGAGGACTGCAGCACAGATAAGGAAGCAACTTAAAAGTCCGAGAATGGCTACTCCCCACCCCGTTCCCCATGATAGAGCAGCTCTATTTATTACTGTATCCTCAGTACCTAGAATGATGCCTTGGCCCATAAGTAGGTGCCCAATAAATATTTAAAAATGAATCAATTAACGCATAAGTCATTGGGTACATACTGAGTGCTGGACATGCTGTGCCCTGAGGGGTAGAATGCACACCGTAAGGTAATGTGTATAAAGCATGTAGCTGAGTGCCTGGCACCTGTTAATTCAATACATGTTAGTAGCAATGGGGGCAGGGGGCAATGCAACCGTGGTCTCTGTCAACAGCAATCAGTAGGAGAACAATTCTGAGCTAAGCTCCAGAACCCAGACTGTGAGTGTGGTGGTCAGGAAGGACTTCACCCAGGAGATGGGACTAGGACTGGACCCAGCTGAAAGCAAAGTGGGTTTAAAAATCACCTACCTATTACATGTTTATCAAGTACCCATCTGTGTGGAGGGAAGAGCACAACTGTTTGTGAGTGTGCTGTGTGCAAGGTGGGAAGGGGATGGGCCCACAGAAGGATGGGGGCTGGGAGAAAAGGTCAGAAGAAAAGGGCAACGCCAAGCTATGGATGAGCCCGGGGGTCTGGAGTATGGGTTTGGTGGGTACTGGAAAGAGACCCCGAAAGGTTTTTGAGCAGGGGAGGGTCATGGTGAAGCCTGGTTTCCAGCAGCTGTTTCCCGAGTGGTGGGCAGGATGTGGTGGCCTGGGAGAGAGGGAGGGGGAGGGGAAAAGGAGAAGGCAATGACAGACCATGTGAGCTGGAGGCAATTCTCTCCTCGAGCCCTCGGTGAAGGAGGAGGAGACTGGGGCCTAGAGAGAAGTAGCCTTTGAGCCAGGACAAGCTCAGATCTCAAGGTCCGGGGCCCTCCCACCACCCAGGTGCCCTGGAAGGCAGGCAAGAGCAGGATGAGGGCCAGAGCTGGAGGGCGGGGTGGGGGGGGAGGGGTGGATCTGGCTCCAGTGCATCGCCCATCCCCCATCCCGCCAGGTTCCTGTCCTGCCAGCGCAGCCCAGCCGCAGCCATCCTGGAGCTGTTTGAGGAGCAGAACGGCAGCCTGCAGGAGCTGCACTACCTCATGACCGTCATGGAGCGGCTGGACTGCGCCTCGGCCATCCAGAACTACCTGAGCGGGACGCACGGCGGCGGGGGCGCCCAGGAGAACCAGGGCTTGGAACTGGACGAGAAGCTCTGAGCGCTCCCAGGGGGCACGGTGGGGACCTCCTCGCAGCACTCTGGGCACCTGGGGGCCCCGACACCGAGGGAGAGCGCGGCAGCTGCTTCTGGCCGCGCCCACCGACCTCATCAGAACCCTCAGACGGTGATGAGACCAGGGGCGCGATCCTAGAGACCAGCTTCGTGCTGCGAACGGGTCCCATCCTGGTCGGCAGGGGGCGCAGGAGCCCAGGAGATGGCCCTGGCATGGCCAGCCTCCAGGAAGCTGTTGCGTAGACCCAGTGGACTGTTAGGCTGCCCTGTCGGCACTCCTTGGGGACTGGCCAGTTCACAAGGATTCGCTGCGCACTTAGTGATACTCCGCATCGGACTGGGTATCACGGGGAATCCTGGCATGGAGGAAATGGGGCTTGGAGCTTGACAAACCCGCAGTTCTCTTGTGGGAGTCAAGATGCCCTCATGGATGAGAGGCTATTTCCAAAACAGCAGTGCCCTGGGGTTAGGGGAAGTGGGCGTGCTTTAGGAGCTGAGACGGGAGGCAGCGGGGCGTGGGCTGGAGCAGGAGAAGGCTTCATGGAGGATGCTGGAGAAAGGGTTGGGATGAGAAAGGGTTGGTTCAGCAGTCTTTGAGTGGGGATAGAGGGTGATGGTGGCTGGATTTACAGTAGGAGCCAAGAGTGAGCATGGGTGTGCGGGGAGGGTTCAAGGTCAGTCATGCCCGGCTGTCCACCTGTCTCCTTTGTCTTCCTTTGTGTCTCTCTCTTCCCATCCTTGCCTTGTCTTCCTTTCTTTCTGCCATTATCTCTGTCATAAAACATCAATGCTGACAAGAAACTACAAGATTAACATTCATGCCCAACCTTTTTACCTCTTTATCTGGAACTGTGTGAGTTTTCAGTGTCTCTGGTTCCATTTTGCTGTCACCATTTTCTGCAGTCTCTGCATCCCTGAATCTGTGCGTTAGTCTCTGTCTCAGCATCTCTTTGCCTCTACCGAGTCACTGGGACTGCCTTTGAGGGTTTCCTTCACCCTCCGAAACCCTCAGTCATTCCTCTCAGGGCCAATGTCTCTGTATCAATTGTCTCTGGGCCAATGTCATGTATCAAAGGCAATGAAAGGACACTGGGCTACCCTAGGAATGGGGGTGGGGTGTGGATTTTACCCTGTGAATCAAGATCCAATTTAGGGTCAGGAAATAAACAATAGGGATTAAAGAACACGCCATTCAGTCAACAAATATTTATTCTGTGCCTACGATGTGTTAGACACTGTACAGAAAAGAGATCAGTGGGCTGGGTCCTGAAAAGAGAACAAAGGATTTGACTCCATTCTAGCAATGTTTTTGTTTGCAAACAGGTATTGTTAAATTTTTTTTTTTAGGGCAGGCAAGCAATCTCTCTACTAGCAATTTGCTTTTGTATTTAATGAAAAGATATTAAAGCTTTTTCTATGATAAACAATATCGTATAATAATAAAATACGAAAATTTCGTTTCTTTGTTGCTAACTGTATTTTGCTCAGATTGATAAATTTGGATGTGGGTATGAATGGTTTTATTTGTCAGATTATAGCAGTCGGGGCTGCTTAGAGGCAAGCATTTGGTAGATTGTGCTTCTGGTAGGCACATCGTCTAGGTTCAGCATGGTCAATCAGGGAGGGTCTCTTCCCTTTCTGTTAGAAGTGAACCTGCAGGGTGGGGCCCCTTCACCTCTTCCCTCTTGCTTGGTGTTCCACCCTTTTGGTTGGTGCCTCGGCCTTCCCCACTTCTTGGCTCAGAAGCAACTGTCTGTCCTGGAATCCGGGTAGGGCTTCCTCCTTTTCTCCCATGTCTCTTCCTTACTCTCCACGTCAGCCCAAGGCATCTTTATCTTGTGTTCCTCCCTACCCTGGAACAAATAATTTTAAGAGTTTCAAGTCTTCTGGTGCATCAAAGTCACGGGGGTTTCTGTGCTGGGACAGGATGCCTCTGGCCCCCGCTCTAATTCCTCAGAATGGGCTGGTACTTGCAGTGCCTGGAAAAAGGAGCTTGGAAATCTACAGGTGGGTGGCAGGCGGCCCCATCCCTGGAGGGTGGATTCTTCCTTTCTTAAATCGGACCTGCTTGGTGTGTTTTTGCCAGCACCCAAAGCTGAGAGCTGGCGTGTTCCGGGGGCGTTAGGAGACTTAGCGCTCAGTCCATGCTTGAGTGCCATTTAGCACAGCTCTCTCCGCTCTGGCTTCAGACTCTTCACCCGTGGATGAAGCGACCATGTTTGAGGCTCAGGGCCTCCTTTTGATTCCAAGGGCCTGTGCAGGGATGGCTCACTGGTGACCCAGGGATATCCACTTGGGGAATTTTTCTTTGTGTATGGCCTATAAATAGCGCAACTGGTCACTGCTTGTGGCCTTACCTCTGGCCCTTTTCCTAGTAGGCCACCTGCCTGGTTCCTAAAACACCAAACTTGTGACTTCTGCTCTCACGCATGTTGTAGGGCCCGTGCCTAAACTTCCTTCTTTTGGGTTTACAGCTGGCAGGGGAATGAGCTGCAAGGATTGGCCAGGTCTGCAGGGTTAGAGGCCCCAGTGCTCAGAGGTAAACTGTGTCCTCGACACCCCATCTGCCTGCTGAGTGACACGGACACCAATGTACAGATTTGTGCTGTCTGACAGAAAACTAATAGAAAGCCACATATTTAATTCTGTGTTTTCTAATAGTCACACATGAAAAAATGTAAAAGGAAACAGGTGAAATCAGTGTTAATAATATATTTTGTTTAAACTAACATGTCCAGAATATTATAATTTCCACATGTAATCAATATGAAAATATTAATGGCATATTTTGCATCCTTTTTTTCATAAAGTATTTGGAATCTGGTAGGTAGTTTACAATCACAGCGCATCTCGATGTGTATTGAACACGTGCTAAATTTTTGCTGGAAACATTTGATCTATATTTAGCCTTCATAAAATCTAGTGCTGAAAAAGTACTTTTACATAACACGTTCAACAAGCTAAAAGTTTTCCAAAAATGGAATTGGATATAAATTTTAAAATTTAAGTCAACTGAAATAAAATAAAATAAAAGTTCAGTTCCTGAGTTGTACTAGCCACATTTCAAGTGCTCAGTAGCTATGTGCAGCTAGTGGATACTGTCATGAATAGCACAGGTCCGGATTGTGGAACCACCTGGGCATAACTTTATAGTGTGCTTAACCGGTCGTTAAATCATTCCTCAAACATTTACTGAATACCTGCCCGCACAAAGTGTTATCAAAATTCGATGAAAAAGAGCATGCTTGGGCGGTAGGAGCCCCTGGGATGGGGGGAGTCAGAGAGAAAGGACACTTTTCCCCCCACCCTCTCTGCACGTGACTCAAGAAGAAGATGGGGGATGAGGCCTAGGTAGACACCGTCTGCTGCAGGAAAGGTAGAGAGGCCATGGATTCAGAGTTGGGTGTTCGTGGCTCACCCAGCACAACAGGTTGCTCCACAGTTGCTTGCAGCAACATCCACTCTGGCAGGGGATTATAGACGAGGGATTTTATTCTGAAGGATAAAGTCATTGGAGGGCCGAGAAATAGGACTGAGGTAAGGTTTCTAGGAATGATCCCCTAAACCGTGCTGTAGGACCATCCCACGGGGGGAGACTGGCATTGCTGTGGGTGCTACGACTGAGCACTAGGTAGCAGCCACTTCTACCAGCACCACCGCCGCTTCTGAGCTGGGAGTCAGACCTTACCACCACCCCTGAAGGCTGAGCTTCTGCTGCTGTTCATGTCAGTACATGTGGAAGCTCCACGTGCTCCTCGCTTCTTTGCACTACCCTTTTCCACATCAGATCTCAAGTGGGGACATCAAGACTGGCAGAGCTCAGATCATTTGCTGAATCCTAGCTGCAAAGGAGTCTGGAAATTTGAATTCTGACTTTCCTATTGGAGAGATGGGATTCATTACAAGCAGATATTCCCAAATGTGGAAGAAAGCTACCCGAAAGGCGATGGGCAGCCATGAATACAACAGATATCCACTATGGTGTGGTTAATGCTATGGTTCCAGGCAGCAAACTCTCTTTATGAGAAGAGTCACAGTGCCAGTGTGAGTCTGTTGACCTTAAGGGCCTTCTCAATAAAGCATGACTGCACACATCCCTCAGGATGGCTTTCATGCCCAAATTTGATTCTGTGGTCTAGCATCAGACCTTGACGCGTTTCATGAGTATGCCACCAAAGCTCACCAACAGTGGCAAATTGATTTATTCCATACCTTCTATAGCCCCACATGCCGTCCTGTAACTGCAGAGGTTGAAAATTGAACATATGTTTCCCAGACACCTTGGCAGATGGAGATCCAGGGATGTGGTACGTTTAGGTTTTGCCAATTAGCTGAACTCATGCAGGGCTTTGATTTGCCATTGGATAATGTTGGGAGTTGAATAGAACATGGGGATGGTGGTTATACTGAGGCACCGAGGGGCTCCAGGACCCACCTGTTGTGGCAGCTGCTGGTAGATTTGGTAGATTCCTCAGTGGCCTGGTTCTCTGGTGTGGTGTGGGGCATCAATACTGGAAGTCATTCAGCTCTTCCAATGATTCTGTGGACTATCTAGACTCTGTAATACATCATTTTGTGCTTACACTAGCTAGAGGGAGGCTCTATAATGTACAATTAAGACCCCTATCTAACGTGCCGATGATCCTGTCTCTGGAAAGACTGTCCTTCATTCGGTGATTACACCCTTCCTTCTTTGCTGATGTCAAAGAGTCTATTATCTCATGAGAGAGTAGTAATAGAGATGATAGTTTTATGAAAATGTCCTTACTTGGAAAAATAAAAAGGTAGCAATCCTTTGTTGATTTTTCCTTTCCCTATTTAAAAAACAAAACAAAAAAATTTATTGGTCTTTGAAATACAAAAGCTTTGTAATACTTTTTTATGAGAACTGTCATCCTTATTCATCCTTTTTAGAGCCTTACACAGGTATGTTTATTCATCTACTTAATACGTATTTGACTAGTTATTATGTGCTTTGAATCATGG